CTTAGTGTAGCAGCGCATATGTGACATCTCACTGCAGACTGTCCTTCTGTACGCATAGCAGAAAGAAAGACACATAGCTTCATGATCAGCGGTCACTGTGCCCGTGCACACTTGTAACTTGTCTGAGCCCAGTCTGAACCTGCGCCAAAGAGAGCGAAGCGCCATGTGCAGACTGTGGGTAGAAACTTGCCAATTTGATGGCCGAAGAACAAGTTTGGGCCGCACGAAGACATGCGCTGCCAGTGCGCTGCAGAGTTGACGGCTCCGCAACTGTTGGTTGCCATGCAGAGTGAGCTCAGTTCGCAGCACGAGGGTACTTATTACCGTGGGGTCTGACTCAATGCAACCGATGCTGACAATGCCGTGGAGTCCTGGTAATAGAGCTGGTGCGACGAGATTCGAACCTCGCTCGCACTTGGCTGGCTTTCTGGCTAAGGCCTCTCGCTTAATGAAAGAACACATTCATGTACATGAAATCTCTGAACGTGTTCGTCGGAGGACCTACATATTCGATTGTTCGAGGGGCAGAGCATGCTCGCCTCCACCATGGGAGAAATGACAAGACCCCGTCGGCCGAACCGGGCTCAATGTTCCACGCATGATATACATGGGTGCGATTGGGTTCGTGTAACAGTGCTCGTGCAAGCCTTAATATGGTCCGAAATTACACAAGGCACGCTGTACAGAAATGTTGGGAGTGACTACATTGCTTAGATCATGAACACGATCAGGCACACCTATTCTCGATTACCGTCTTATCCAGAAGCGTGACAGACGAATGCGTTGTAGTTGTAGGTCTCAGGGAAAGGCTCGAAGATGAAATCAGTCCCAGTATCAAGACTGACGATGGTTCTTCCATCTCGTATCATCACGGCAGACATACCATAGCTCGGCACCAGGTTCATCGGTAATCGGGTAACACCTGTGGCGACGACGACCGTCTGCCAGCTCCAGGGTGCCGTTGTGAGTTCCACGATGGCCGGGGCTTGCGCAAAGACAACAGCCCACAATTTGTCTTCCGTCTGACAAGGCCATGCCTCAGTTAAGAGGAGAAGGACAGAAAGAGCACTACGCGCCAGTTCATAGGAGGTCGGCTTGCCCACCGTATCATTCCATGCCGTCGCGTCCTTGGGGTGCGGACGCGCCCACAAATAGATTTGGTCCTGCGTGACGGGCGGATAGGTGCCGGTCCGGAAGGCAGTTGCGTAGTAATTCGTCATTGCTAACCACCCTGTGCGAGCGCCTCGTGTGGTCAGTGTTCGATTACTCAAACCCACTTAGACGCTACAGCTCACCGAGATGCGGCACGCCGTTTGTCCATTCCTGCGAGTTGGGTTGCGCACCCTCAATAGGGCCGATATAGTGCGATTCGCTGTAGTCATTCCAAGTAATAATCTCGACGACGTCAACCATATCGCGGTTCTCTACCAATGTCGTCCATCTCTGTTCGTAAGACCAGTAATCTGCGAGGTATATCCACTTGCCGGTATTCGGTGGACCGCGCACAGAGGAGCAAGTGATCTCACTTACATTTTTGTCATATGTCTCAGGAGAGTAATGCGTGAAGAACCAAGGACTGACAGCTGCCATGTATGTCTTGTCGGAACCAGTAACTGTATCCAGTCCGGCTATGTACTGTTCGTCGGTCGTGAAGACACCAATATTGCTTTCGAGTGCATACTCCACTGAGGGTGGAAAAGTGGACAAATTCAGTGCAAAAGCGCCCAGCCCGAGGTCAGATGCGGCGGAAGAGTATGTCAGGTCAATAGGCCAGCCGCCGTTCCACTATCGATTCCCCTTCGTCAGTAACTTACAAGTTATCAACAGATAGCGATGTCAACATACGTTGAAGTCGCCGTCCATGACGCCGTCATAGTCACTGAACGTGCTGGGATCAACAAAGAACGATGGGACGAAGTGGACAGCATCATCCTCTGTAAGCTGGTCGACGAACTCAGCCTTCCAGCCCTGTGCAGAGGTGTTCTGACCGAAGGTGCAGTCCGAGCCTGAGAACGTCGAGATGAATACTTTGTCGTTCCATCTGAGCTGGTTCGGATGGGTCGAGTAATTCGTGACATATTCGCGCAACAGTGACGCGTCCGCGGTGCTACTACACGGAAGGGACGACATGTCGAGGGATATGAACAGCTTAAAATCGAGGCTCAGGTCTTCGGCTGCCTGGTATCTGTCCTCGGACACATCGGCCCCCATTGATACGACTTCAGCGAAGAAAGAGCACACACGCAGTCGCGACCTGAGTAATCTCCCACGTATCGCTCCCGACGTTAAGAGCGAAACCGTCGAGTCCGGAGTCATATGCGAGTTGTATGTCAGACTCCCAAGTGGACAGGTTATAGGGATAAGTGTAGCCTATGATGTGATGAGCTACCACCAGCTTGCTAGTAGCGGCACGCTGAAGGTGATGAGTTCCATGAGGAAGAGCCCCGATCAGCGGAGTTATTGCACTTGTGAACGCAGTGAGGCAGACACCTTTAGTAAGCATGACGAGTCACAGAAGTTCCAGCACCTTGGTCTGCGACGCCGCCCTGCATATGTGGGTAGAGGCGCGTTAGACATATATATGTTCACGGAACAGGCCGCTGTTGAGGCTCGGGCTTAATGCCTTGGGTTAGGGACACATCATCGCGTCCGGTGACCAAGGGAGCAGACTTCGAAGTAAACAGATTCAGTAAAAGGGTTTGATTTCGATGCGGAACTACTCACCGTCTATGAATGTGCATACTTCCCGCCCACGCTGCCCATGCGGCTACCAGCGGCCACCGAGAACACTTCCATATCTGAACGTACCCGCGAGGTTTCATGCCGGTGCATCGCGGTCCCAAGAGCTTCGGCAGTGATGAGGTAGACTCCGCAGACAGCGCGTGACGAGAATTCCCCTGGCATGGTACAGTAACGTGGTCCTGAACGGTGCCACTCGACGTCTACCGTTCACAGTGTTCACCACTCGGAACGCGAAGCCCAAGTCACACACGTACTGTCGACATGCAGACCGTGGTCCGAGTCGTTCAAATCTGTCAGGTACGCATTACTTCGGCACAAAAATAGACATACCAATAACAAAGATCTCACCTATTGCGCTGTCCAATGGAGAGAATGCATGTGAATTCCAATACACTGGACTCACTGATATACTCTGTAAGAGTCAAGCATACGCCCACGCGTTACGGTAACTTTCGTAGCGTAGGAAAGTACTAGTGAAACGGTGCCATTGAGAAGGTGCACGAGCGAAAGGTCGTAAAATCTGCAGTGTCCTCTAAGAACGTGGTCGTCACGCCATGAGAGGCCTCCCTGACAACGCTCTCGGGATCTAGACATGGTGGCTGGAGCTCAACAGAGAACGGTTCAACGTACGCGTCCGTCGTCGCGCTTCACGTGATCATGGGACGCGCGTCTCGAACGCGAAGGTTGGACGCGTACGCCGGTGCGCGCCTTGCCTCGACTCGTCTATAAATCCTGCATCGCAATCGATCGTTCGCCCTCTAGCTCACCTTGCAAGCCCGAGTGCCAGATCCTCCGCATATCAGAACGCACAGCATGGCGCAACCAAGTCTACAACGACGACGGAGCACGTCCGACTTCCTGAGGCTTCAGGCGCAGCGCGAGGCCGACCGTGGTGGTTCGCCTAATTGGATCGTGAATGCCCTTTTCTCTCGTATGCAGAACGACCTTGCATACCAACGGTGTGTAGCAAGCTTCCTGATACCATGTCTCCAAACCCACAGTAATGGTACGCGCAACTAGGAAGATCAGAGAGTTCTCCGAAGGACTTCCGAAGCTGACAGAACAAGATCTTGTTGCGGCCGAGGAGATCGACTCATCATGCCCCATATGTCTTACATCGTTCTCAGCGATTCTGAACGAAGAGGAGATGGCTCTCGCACTTGACACTCCGGCGCATCCCGTCGAGCAGCTCGGCGTGACGCGCTTCAAGGACACTTGTGGTCACATCTTTTGTCGCAAAGAGTGAGGGGGCTGTTCTGCATATTGCGTGGCTAGGTAACTGAAACGGGCTTGCTCTCCGATGATAGCGCTCTGAGTTGGGTGAACCAAGGCGTGAGTACCTAGAACATAGGCACCTACGATGCTGACGGCACTCGTTACGTGCAGCGCACCACTTGTCCCACATGCCGCCGTCCGTACATCGACCTGCCCAATGCCCCCGAGATCCCTCAGTTCATACCTGGAGAGTCCCCGGGGTTCGTGCGTCGCGAAGACGGGTCCATGCACTTCGACATTTCGGAATATGCCACCGCCGCCGCCAGTGTCATGCTTCCGGGTATTCACAGCCTACGCGACCAAGGCATCGATCCAGAGGCTCTGCTCGCTCAGGTCCAGGAAGCGCAGAGACGAGAAGATCGCGAGCAGGAGTTTTCTGGGATGTATTCTTAGGGAGCAATAGTTGACTCGTACATTCGGTTGTATATTATGTGTACATCACTCCAGGATCTCGCGGATCGCTTGCTGCAGTTGCCCCCACTATGAATTTGGTGCCTTGCTGCCTGCAGCACGCCTCGAGCGACGCTAAAACATACAACAACGAAGTTAGCAAGTACTGCGTCTTCTGCGCGTCGTACCAATGTCATATCGAATCAGGATCTCCGTCGGGCTACCTACTCGGTCACCGAGAAGTAATTCACTGGTAATATCAATTAGGTCAGTCATAACGAGACATGCGCCATGATGTTGGAAATTTCCAGTAATAGCTAGTAATTGGTGTATTTACCATACAAATAGCTTGAGAATTGGGTCCGTGGACCGTACTAGACCACCAGCCGAGTGGGTACTATAGTGCAGTGGGCAGAATCCTGACCCGATATAGTAAGGCGGGCATAGTTCGGGCGTCGTTGGCTGGGCGCTTGGTAGGAGACTCTGAACGTTGGCTCCTCGAGATCAACTCTCCGCTTCTTCTTCTCTTGATCTGCTATGTTGTTCTCTGACACTTCCGAGGGTAAAACAACACGTAAACGCATGAAAAAAGATGATGAGAGTGGGATTCGAACCCACGCCCTTTCGGACCAGATACGATTTTTCAAATCCCAATGAAGAATGAAACACCTTAGTCTGGCGCCTTGGACCACTCGGCCATCTCACCATGAAGAGCTTCGCACTTACTAATTGACATAACCAGTAAAAATGGGAGCGCCCAAACTGGGCCGAGGTGAGTGGCCACGTGTTACCTTGCGACTGCAAGGTTTCTGCCAGGTCGTTAAACGTACCGTGC